TGTGATTATCTGCGCTTCATTCTGTCCTTCACGTCTGGAGGCAGAAGGTCCGTCAGACCGTCCTCCACGATCACAGCGGCCAGTCTGAGCGAGAGACAGTCGGCGAGCTCCGCAGGCAGAGACTCCAGCCGGTTTCCCTTCAGCTCCAGCCGAACCAGCTGAGCCAGATTCCCGACCCGCGGAGACAGCGAGGAGATGCTGTTATTCCCCAGCGCCAGCACCTGCAGCCTCTTACAGGAGAACAGCTCCTCGGGGAGACTCTCCAGCGAGTTAAAGGCCACCGAGAGGAACTGCAGACACTGAAGCACGCCGATCTCCGAGGGCAGAGACGCCAGCTGGTTGTGGGAAAGGTCCAGGTGTCGGAGTTTGGTGCAGTAGCAGAGGCGCGGCGGAAGACTGCGGATCTTGTTCCAGCTGAGGTCCAGTGTCTCCAGCGCGCGGAGCTTGCTGATGTGCTCCGGGACGCAGGAGATGTCGTTGTGCCAGAGTCTGAGGACGGTCAGGCGGCGACAGTGCTGCAGACTCAAGATCTCTTCCACGGTGCTGAGCCGGTTCTCTCGAAGGTCCAGCTCCTGCAGGAGGGACAGGCTGAAGACGGCGCTGGGGATCCGCTCCAGACCGCAGCCCGTCAGCTCCAGAGCGCTCAGGTTCACCAGCTTCTTCAGGCTGTTGTAGACCTGGAGCCTGGTCCCCTCGTTGTGAACGCACAGTCTCTGGAGCTGACTGGACACATCCACAATACTGGGCGGTATCTTGGTCAGCTTGCAGCGTAAGGTCAGCACTCGCAGGTTCTTCAGGTCTCGTAAAGAGTCCAGCGCCGGACTGCGGGAGAGCTCAGCGCTCAGAGCGCCGCTCAGGTGAAGCTCCTCTAGACTCTGTAAGGTGTACATCCACAGCGGCACCTGCTCCGGACCCTCGAAGCCCAAGCGCAGAACCTTCAGATTCTCACGCAGGTGACTGAGGGCCGCCAGCTGGAGCTTGGCCGGACTGTGGATCAGCACGATCTCCTGTAAGGCGGTAAGCTGCGATACGGTTCCGGGGACCGTCACGTTACTGATCAGTTCCAGTTTGAGCGACTCGACCTCGGAAATCTCGAACACGGTGTCTGGTAATCCTGGAAGCAGGAACAGGGGCAGCTCCAGCCTCTCGGCGGCGTTGCGTGTCAGACGAGCGCGGAGCTTATCAGCCGTCCACTCGTGGTTGAGGTTGAGCTGCCGTAAGCGGCATTCGCTGACCTCCGAGAGAAACACGGCGAAGCGTTTGGAGTACAGGGCGTCGTACTGGTCGCTGAGGTGCAGGAGAAACGCAAAGTCATTTTTAACATCCG